AGCAAGACTTCGCTGCAATAAGTTGCAATGAGAACTTCAGATCTTATACAGGTAACACACTAACCCCAAAACTATTCCACACAATGACTGGCTTATATTACAGTCTTTACAGCAAAGTCCGCAAAGATCAGTCTGAAAATCACTGCCATATCCATTACATCAGAATTCTGAAATCCTAGAGTCCATTACTCAAAAAACGTGACAAGACAGCGAGCCACGTATGGACAGGGCCATATTGTTCCTTCCTCATGTCAGAACATAAGAACATCAAAAAAGCAGCCATTAAAGATAACCCAAAAGTGATGTGGTGGTGACACCCCACATGATCAGATGGTACTCAGGATGGATGCTGTAAGGATAGATGGGTGGCTTAAACTATAGAGTTTGTGCATCTGTTACTGGCCCTCTGTGGTATCCTGTGTTCCTGAAGTATTTGGTTTGAAGACGCTAGGCTTATAAAGTAGCTTCCTACCATTGTGTAGTCGAACTGTATCTGGTTGCCCTGTCTGACCAAGTGTTTTGACAACAAAGCACAGCAGAGCTTGAGGTCTTGTGCTAATCCTTTCATCATTATTCTATTACGTGACTAATCTCACCTATGAACAAAGCTCCGCACTCACAAGTAGCCTCCAGTAAGCTTTGGGACCAAGGCTGTCATGATAAGATGAATGTAATATCACACCAGTCTATTGCCATTGTGGCTGGAGGTTGCCCAGTAGCCGATAAATAATAAACAACGCCTAGATAGAATAGAGTATTTCAGTCTATACACGATATGGTCTTGATAAAACAAGTAGGTATTCGCCGGCACTTGCTGCACTGCCCGAAACAGTAGGATTATAAAACATCAAAGCTGAAGTTCACATGGTGTTCATCTGCGATCTACAGTCAACTGATAGACGCCTGTGCAGTTTACTTTCTATGACTGACTTTAGGCATTCTGTAAAAGGGAAATAAAAAAATCAGTAAAATGTTCACCCCTCCAAGTGACGAACAATCGCTTTGTATCTTAACGACGGGACGCGCAGTCTCAAACCTTTCCTGAATGGTGTGCTAATTTTGGGAGGGAAAATTATATTCAAATTAAAAATCCCACACTAAAGTTAAAAATTCCATGAAGCAAATGACAGGTGCCTAATCACCTTGCCTTCTGTGTTTATCTGATTAGAACTAATAGAAGAAAATTGATTATATATTATGTTCACCTCTCCAAGTATTGGACAAGAGCTCTGTGTCTTAACACGGAGATGTCCTGTCTCACACCTTTTGCTCTTGGCCTCTTGTGTTCGGAAGTAGACTATCGCACCACCTGGACGGCAAAATTTCATATTGAGATATTGAGATGAGGAATATTTACTGATATTTCGACAGGTATCTTCCAACACTCATTTACGCGTTTCATTGAGTTTTCGATAATCGCGGAACAAACTAGCTAGGCTCCAGTGCACTTACTGAGATACTAATTGCCAGCAAAAATAAATTCTTTTTCGAAAATAATAAATAATAAATAATAAATAATTCCATTGGTTTAAAAAACCAATGGGATTATTTCGGCAAATAGGTAGATTGAGAGTAGTCCCAACGACGCCGACATGCTGACTGCAGTTATTAAAAAAAAGGAAATAAAAAGAAATGAAGCCAACAGCACGTGGTGTTACCAAGCGGTCACCCATCCAAGTACTAACCACACCCAATGCTGCTTAACTCCGGTGATCAGACGAGAACCGGTGTTTTCAGCATGGTATGGCCGTTAGCATTACATTTGTCTAAGCTACTTGTATAACAAGTGCATGCCTTATTTACTTCAAAATCACAATTGATTGAATGACAAAAAAGTAAGAGAACGGATAGCTGACTTTGTTCAGAAAACGACACTTCCAGCTTCTAGAATCGATACCACTAACAACTACAGAGCCGAACCCAGTAAGATTCATCTCGGACGACTTCATCAAAATTACCAATATAAAATCCATGGAGATAAGTAGAAATATACGGCAGACAGATTTTACCTGGTCGAGTGGTTCCTATCTGAAATCACGATTTCCTAAATACCGCTGCAGGAGAAAATAGTAGTTGACCCTTTCCGTGGGTGTAAATCAGAAGTTGCCCAGTAGCCGATGAATAATAAACAACGTCTAGAAACAATAGAGTATTTCAGTCTATACACGATATGGTCTTGATAAAACAAGTACGTATTCGACGGCACTTGGTGCACTGCCCGACACAGTAGAATAATAAACCATCGAAGCTGAAGATCACATGGTGTTCGCCTGCCATCTACAGTCAACAACTGATAGACGCCTGTGCAGTTTACTTTCTATGACTAACTTTAGGCATTCTGTAAAAGGAAAAAAAAAATCAGTAAAATGTTCACCCCGCCAAGTGAAGAACAATCGCTTTGTATCTTAACGACGGGACGCGCAGCCTAAAGCCTTTCCTGAATGGTGTGCTAATTTTAGGAGGGAAAATTATATTCAAATAAATTATCCCACATTAAAGTTAAAAATTACATGAAGCAAATGACAGATGCCTAACCCCCTTGCCTTCTGTGTTTATATGATTAGAACTAAGAGAAAAAAAATTGATTATATATTATGTTCACCTGTCTAAGTATTGGACAAGAGCTCTGTGTCTTAACTCGGAGATGTCCTGTCTCACACCTTATGTTCTTGGCCTCTTGTTTTCGGAAGTAGAATATCGCACCACCTGGACAGCAAAATTCCATACTGAGATATTGTGATGAGGAATATTTACTCATTATATCGACAGGTATCTCCCAAGGAGGGTCTGCATTCGAGGTTCTGAGAGATAGTTGTCCACGGATAGTTGTCCACGAATAGTTCAATCAACGCTCGGTTAGGCATGTAAGGAGGTGACCTGGCCTATCTGAAGGCCTACCTCCTTGAGCTGTTCCAGCAGGTGCGGAAGCAGCTTCTGGACGCCATCGCCGTGGAAAAGAAGAGACAGCGGACAGCAGCAGTAGTAACTACAGCAGCAGCAGCCGTGGTCGGAGGGCCTACTCGAGCCAACGCTGGCAAGAGGAAAGCCAACGAGTTGAAGTCGTACCGCGGACCTCCCCCCTCTTACCCTGCCTCGCTGAAACCGCCAAGCGGGACAGTGAAGCCCCCAGCTAAGGGACCCGGCTCCCAGCCGGGACCTGCTTCCTCGATGCAGGAGGCACTTGGGCGCAGGTCTCCCCGGGCTTCCCGGGAACTGTCCGATCCGCTCACTGGCGCTTCTTCTTCCCACGCTCAAGTCCCCTTACGCCACACTTCATTGTGTCGGTAGCTCGGGGCCCCGACGGAGCGAAAGTGAGTTCCCTTACCGAGATCTGCGGTCTGCGGGTCAAGGTGGAAACATACGTCGCACCGAAGGGGCTATGCAGTGTAAGCGGTGCCAACGCTTCGGGCACACGCAGCGGAACTGCGGTTATGCACCCAGGTGCGTGGCCTGCGGGGACGCTTACCCATCCGGGTCGTGTGCCACACCCAAGCATCAGTTTAAGTGCTGCAGCTGCGGGTGCAACCACACTGCGAACTACAGAGGTTGCAGTAAGTGGAAGGAAGCCAAGGCTGCCGCTGCACAGCGTGCGAAAGGGGATCGCGGCAGAAAGAACGGCGTCTCCACGCGCCTGCCAGCGCCCAAATCGGCGCTAGCTAATCCTTCCCTCGAACAGGTGAACTTGGGCCCTGGGTGGAACCACGTGGTCCGTGGTGGCCGCGTCGTCAAAGCTGCGGCTATGAAGAGCCCCACCCCAACGCCAGCTGGCGCCATTGCACGGACTGAGCGGCAGGCTGTCTCTAAGAGCGGCCGTGCCAAGCCCGCTCGTCCTGTGGTGCCGGTGGCAAATCCCACTGCACCTGTTCCCAACAAACCCGCACCTGCCCCCAAGAAGACTGACCCCACCCCACCCAAGGGCTAGTCGCCGCTCCAGGACATCTCAGATATCCTGGAGACCCTCTCACCACGGGTCTGCGTCGAGTTGACACGCCGTCTCCTCGCCGCGATCCATTCCCTCCCATCCGGGGGGTCTCGTCCGCGAGCCCTCCTCAAAACCGTTCTCCTCTTCATGGCCGACAATGACTGCACGGCCTAGAGGACACGGTGGTAAAGCCTTGCGGCTGGCTTACTGGAACGCCGACGGTGTTCGCGGCAGGAAGCTGGAGCTGGAGCAGTTCCTCGGTGACTACGGAGTCGATGTTTGCCTCCTGAACGAGACGCACCTCACGTCGGGTCGGGCCTTGAGGTTCGCGAACTACGTTTGCCACCGTACGGACC